AAAAAGCACTTATGAAACTAGCAGACGACTTTGATGCAAACTAGTACATTTTAATGCCATTTTATTAGAAATCATGCAAACTTTAATATAAAAAATACAAGTGCAATAAGAATCTTTGTGTGTAAATACAGATTCCGGGTTATCATGTCATTGTCAGCTTCCCAAAGAAATATTCCCACAAGCATGAGAAGCTGCAGGCTTCCCTCTGTCCCCTCCTTGAACAGCCCCCCCTTAGCACACGCCTGGTTCAGTTCACTTTGATCCCAGTGTTTTGTTATTCCGCTTTTTTTTTTTTTGCTTTAAATTAGTTTGACGACCCAAGAACACTTTTTTTTTTTAAATTTATTTACATTTCATTTCTTTAGTGTCATTTGCAACATGAAACGAGGAGCTCACACCTCAAAGAGTAGGTAAATCTCCTTCCTAGTCAGAGCTGCAACTCCCCGGCATTAGCAACCTGCCTCCCCTGCCCCAGCCAAGGGCTCTGCCCCCCTCCCAGCCCTCCACAGACGTTCTGCTACCCCTGCCTCACGCCCCCGGTGAGAGGTGGCTTCTCCCTTCCTCCCCACCTCGGCCTCCCACCAGACTTGCTCAGCCTGACGATACGGTTACCCATACATCAGCCTCTGTTAAAACAACGCACACGCACACCACAGACCTGCTTTTGCCTCGGAACTCACGGCCTGCGTTAACCTGCAACTCCACCGCGAAAGCAGCCTCCTGCCCTTCCTCCAGACCTCAGGCCCTGGCTGAAAAAAGATAAATCCCAGGGCTTTGGCTGTGCAAGTTAATAAATAAACCGTCTTTGCCTTGCTAATGCGCAGAAGGTCCTAGGCATCCCCCAGGGCTGGCGGTTTGGCCCTACAGGAGGTTTTTTTTACGAGCATCGATTCAACGCGTCTCGTTGCAGTCAACACAGGCTTCATCTGCTCTGTTACAGCAAGTTTTCCTTTAACACAGTCTCGTGCCTTTCATTTCAGACATGGCTTAATCCCATGAATTTGCTCCATCGTTTTAAAATATTGAAAAAAAAAAAAAACAAACCAAAAACCAACAACAAAAAAGTTACAATTGCTGGATATGTCAATAAGAAGCCAGCACTGCAGCAGCGGTTAATGTCTCTACTCTCCTACGGTTAGGAAAAGGAAAGAGAAAAGGAAACTTAGCATGGGTCTGTAGCACGATAAATCATCAACACATCGTCACAAAGAATAAAAGGTTAAAGTCAACAGTTAAAACAGCCTAACGTGTGTGTATAATATATATCATCATCAAACAGGATCAGCAGAAACTGAAGCGGCAAGGAGGAAAAGGTTGGGGTTTTTTTTTTTTAAAAAAAAAGACAGAAAGAAAGATCACAGCTTATCCCTATTAACTCTGGCCTGGCTTCAGCCACCAGCAGCGTAGGCGTGCTCCTGCCCAGCCACCCGCCGCCCAGGCTGGGTGCGCGTCTCCCCACTGCTCGGGACAGCGAGACACAGCCTGGAAATCACTAGATGCCCGTCCCCGCAACACGACACTAACACTCACTCTAGTATCCCCTCAAAAGCAAAAGGGACAAGGCGCGGAGAGGGAAGGAAGCCCCTTCCAGCCAAAAAGGGACCACCAGAGCCCGGCACGCTCGGGCAGGGGCGAGCCTCCAGGATGCTTCGAGGAGTCAGCGCGGCCGAAAGGGACGCTAGCCCTGCTAAACGCTGTCCCCTTCCCATCTAAAGCCAGACGCCGGGTTAAGAGAGCCAAGCTGCGTTACTCTGGGGAGCACGTGGGAGACGGGGCTGGGAGGGGTCACAAGCCTTGCTGAGAAAGCGCTGCAAGGGGAGCTGGCTGTTGCAGCGGTGACAAGGAGGCGACTGAGCCCAGGCTCTCGCTGACGGATGTGCTACGCCAGGGGGAAGTGCTGCTGGAAAGGTTGGGGGGTTTGGAGACGACGATTTCCGCTCCGTGGTCTGTTCGAGCCTTGGCCTTCTCACGGAACGTCAGCTTGTGAGATTCAATCTGCAGCGACACAAGGGCAGGTGAGAAGGGGAAGGGCAGGAGGAGGAAAGAGGAGGAAAGAAGGGACAGGAGGGGAATGGAAGACGATACCATAATGTCATCATTAGATGCCTGGAAAATAAAAGGCAATTTTCTGAATTAAAAACGGCAGAAAAACCCTACAGACATCGATACAAACAGTTCAACGTTCAGATTACAGCGGTGTGACCAGTGCCCTGGGGCGGCTGCTCTGCCCTGCTGCAGTGCTCTCCCCGCCCCACCCGGCAGAGTGCGTAGAGAGAAGGCGCAGGCACTTACTTGTTTCTTGTATCTGAGTCTCGAAGCTCTGAATTTACCTTTGGTCCACATTTTTTTTCTGCCGGCCCTACGCCATTCTCCCGCATCTCACTGCCTGCCTGGGCCGCTGTCACCTCTCCGTTCTGAGGGGCTGGCGGGAGCTGCCCTGGCTCCACGCTCCCCTCAGCCTACAATGAGACAACGGGGTGGGGAGGACGACAGGGACAAGTCAATAGAAGATGGGGGTGCAGGGGGGTGAAGTGCGGGTTCCCGGAGCCCCCTCCGCCCTCCCCAGCTGCCGAGACACACGTGGGGACCAGGGGGTGTTTGGAAGCGGGAAACAGCCCCTGCGCTCCCTGGGAAGCCACCGTCCTGACCAGCCTTACGGCTTCTCACAGGGCTTCGGTCCCCGCAGACCCATCGGCCCCGCACTGCTCCCTGCCAGCTCGTCCGAGCATGGCCACCGTGTCCCTGACCACGGGGTCCGGAGCTCAGCACCCTCTCCCCGAACGCACGCCTGTAACGCCCTGGTGACGGAGGATGGCTGAGGCAAAGGCAGACCAAGGCACGTTGACAGGACTAAAGCAGAGCGCTACGGGGTCAAAAGCGAGCAGCTGGTTTGGGTACATGGCAGTGAAGGAGCCTCCATTATTTGGGGACACATTTATAGAGCAGACCCAAATGATACACAGTGGATCCCAAAACAGGAAGGCCAAGTTTGCACAAAGGACCTCATCCTCACTTGATGCTGATGCTGGACTATGAACTGGGAGTGCAGTCTTTAGAGAAGACTCTGTCCTGGTCTGTTCTCCTACCACAGCTGGTCATCCCACCTGGAGTCACCAACTTCTACTAGCCTTAGAGAAGAGCCAAGTCTTACTGCCGTTAGAGAAGAGACTAATACGCTGGTGGGAGCCTGCTGAGAGTAAGGCAATGCTGCTTGGAAAGACATTCAGACACCACCAACACTGCAGGGCACGGCAAGCAGAGAAGATGCCACACTGGACCAGCCCAGCTCCGGAAAGGAGCAACCCATCCCCTTACTGCCACGTTCAGTAGGGAGGAGTATGGGGAGAGAGTGGCACCTCCAGTCCAAAGCAGCTCTGCTCTTACCCCATGCCCTTGTCCCACAAAGTCTTATCCATGGGCAATAAGGCTGCTGCGTTCTTCTCGAGACTGAGTCAGGCCCTCTCCCTGCAGCCCAGGTAGGAATGTGAGACAGCCGTGGACTGGCTCTCTACCTGATCACTCCACAAGCAGCAAAACCACCCGGCCTTCCTCCTGGGGTCCAAGTTCCCACCCGTGAGCTGACAGCAACACTGAAATCTAGGTGCTTCTGCAGGAACTACAGGGACTGGGATGATCCCCACACCTCCATGAGAGCCACAGAGGGTAGCTCAGCAAGAGCAGCCAGCCCTCCTGAACGTGTGTGCCAGTCCCCAAGTGCCACCTGCCCCTGCTCTGACGACAGCACTGGCTGAGATCTGTGGGATGCAACAGGGAAATGATTTGTCTCTGTATTGCAAGGCTAAGTATTAGAGCCCCAAAAAATACTGGATGAGAGTGTCATCGACAGAGACTCTTCACACCCATGGAGATGGTGGAAAAATGTTTTAAAAATCAGACTAATTCTGAACAGGTAAGATTTTAGAACTTCAATGAAAACCCTAGTTACCAGCAAATAGCACTGGTATATGGACTAGACACTCCAGTAAACTGGAACAGCCAGGCACCGTTACAGACAGTTCCCTATCCTTACCAACACACCAGCAGCTTCTCTAGTTCCTTTCAACTTTTCACTGAGCCCCCATCTGACAGGTTGAAGTTTACATAAAGGACTGGAGATGAGAGAGTCCTGATGTGTCCCCACCAAATATTCTGGCAGTCACCTCTTGCCTTGTTTTAATGGGGATGATTAAGCACATACTAAATATACTTGTGAATTCTGCTGCATGATCTGCTCTTTAGGACAGGGATTATTTCTTTCAAATTCACACGGCATTTAACACAATAGCTCAACCCGCCTGAACTCTAAACCCTTCCACAACACAAGTGTGCTCAAACAAAACAATGCTGGGACAACCAAGGGAGCTCAGTGTTTAGAAGAGGTTTCTTTTCCTCCGCCTGTCTATCCTGCTGGGGGCAAAGACTAAGGTCATATTTTAACAGTTCTGATGCCAGAGCACAGGATTATTTTCTCCACTTCCAGCGCTAACAGCCAATTCAGAAGCAGCGGTGTTTCACATAAAAGCCACAGCACTAGTGACTACTTAAACATAATCCCCAGCACTGCTCTCATCGTTACGTGGCGTGATAGGTCAAGCCCACACATCCATCACTCGGTCAGTCAAGCGGGGGCAGTTTCCCTCCCCTGAGCAGAGATGTTGCATTGCCGTAGCGAGACCTGCAATTTGCAGAGCTGAGGCTGGGGGCAGTTCATGTTCTCATGGGGAGAAGCGCTGAATCACAGCAACGAGAGTGCAACGATCTTTTCTTATCCTCACACAAAGGGCCTTTGGGCTGGGCTGCAGTACTGGTTACGGGCTGAAAACTGCTCCCAAGACCTGCTATCTCCCAACACAGAGCACCTTGCTCTCACCAGCTTTACTGGGGGGTATAGAAAGGAGGAAGGGCCACCGGCAGCTTCTCTGATGGGCTCACAGCTTACAGAGCGATTCCTGCTCTCAGATTCTTAGAGGAAGGATGCAGACGGGCAGTAGGAGCCTTCTGAGTAACACCTAGCAGGGAGCCCATTCAGGCAGGCCACGGAGCTGGTTCATAGCTCTCTCCTTTTCAACTTGTACTCACTCCTGGGGTTGACAACAATAAGCAGATGGCTATAGAAGGCTGGGGGTGGAGAAGCTGCACTACATCAACAGCAGGACAAGGAGAACAACGAAATTTAAATGCTACCCTGATGTGCCAGAGCTTGCTGCACTCACCTTCACAGTTCCTCCTGCTGGTAAGTGTCCCACGTTGTCCAGAGAACCCACTTTGGCTTGGGCCTTCTCCTTGAAGTTCAGCTTCTGGTTCTCAATTTTGACATCTCCTCCCCCTAGAACAAGATTGTGTAGGAGTTTATTAATGCCTCCAGAACAGTCCCACCTGAGATCCGTCCCCTTCCCAGCCCCACCGAGGAACCCCTGGGGACCCAATGTACTTTGGAGGAGGGACATGACCAAGTAATACATTTAGTGTCTCAGTCTCTTTCTAGTTAAGGTTCAGTTTAAAAACCAGGAGGATCAAAGTTGGTGATCTCCACCTGTGCAGGCCAAGCAAAACCGCAAGCAAGCAGGGCTGCACGGCAAAGCCCTGGCAGTGCCCTCAGGTGGGGAACTCCACACGTCCGGACAGACAGGCTGGATGACACCCACACGCCAACTTCCGCACTAGACCTGCTCATGAATCTTCTCCCCCAGCAGAGGTGTGAAATGCCACTTCCACCCGATCCCACACTGCTGCGTTGGCTAATAGAGCTGCCCACTCCTATCAGTGTCCCTCGCCAAGGTCTCTGCCAGCTCAGCCCATCTGCGTAGTCGTCTGTGCCGGGACATGTTCTGCTCCTTGTCGTTAACTGCGTTCCTTTGCTCATTATCCGTTCCCACTCCTACTCCATCACCGGCAGTTGTACGACTGCCTGGACCGACAGCTCCTCCCTGGCGCAGACCCACGTGCCGCTGCCCGAACTCAGCAGGCAGCCGTGCAGGAGGGAGAAGCCGAGCATGGGAACTGGATGGGCACGTCAGGTCCAGGAGAACATGAAGGTCAGAAAAAAACCTGTAGATTGCTAGCAAGACCTTCCTAGATTTAGAATACTGCAGTCCACATTAATGTATAAGACCATACGTGCAGTCCATATTCCAGTAGGTTTCTCAAAAAAACTATTTAAGTATGGCTAAGCACAACTTTGGTTCCCAGTGACATCATTAAATACTCAGTCCTCAGCACTTTGGAAGCTTTGCACGGTCAATGATGGAAGCCAACTGATTCAGTCTAACAAAAATCAGTTAAAACATCTGACAACAGATAATTCTGGATGGATTATTCTGCTTTAATCAGCCCTGGACAAGAGCAGTTATTGTTGCACACAGCTTGTTACTACAGAGCACTGAATAAACAGAGGTCATGTTTGTGGCACCACGTTCTCAAAGCGGGAGCGTGTTTTGAGGCATTGAACCGTGGTGCTCGGTGTGTAAGGTTGAACTGCTTTCAACCTAACAGGCTGGCAGAAAGGGTGCAGGAAACTCCCAGGAGCAGACAAAGACAAGCTTGTAGTATTTGTTTTTGGCTTTGGTCAGTGAACTTTGTCCCTTGTGCACAGAACTTTGATTGCCAGGAGTTTTCCTGTGCAGATAACTGTCCTCAGATACAGACAAACCAGCAAAAGTCAGAGAACTGACCATACTTTAGGATGCTACGAAGGTACAGTTCAAACATCTGCCCACAGCCACAGTACCTTGAACTCGAGACTTGCCTATGCTCCCAGCTGAGCGGTGGGCTGGTCATTGCTTGGTTAGGACACCTGAGATTCGCAGGAATTCACGCAGAGTAACTGCTGTGTTCTCAGTGGGGAGCAAATAATTCCTGCATACTCATCCCATAGTATGTTATTAAAGAGCCAAGGGTGGTTTATATAAGACAGGAGCTGCTACTGAACTGAAAGCTAAAAAGACTCTTGTATCTGCTCTGAAGAACTGGAGGGAAGTTACTTTATCCTTCCACAGCGCACATGTTCAGAGAGCCCCAAAGCCCTCTGTAAGCTTGGATGAAGCTTCCAGACTCCTGGAATGGTCATGGTAAGTATCCACTTTTTTTTTTTTCCAAACGGGGAGGAAAAAAAGAGAACTGAATCAAAGCAGTAGATTATCTTCACAGACAAGATGAAATCCCACATCTCCTAATGCCCTTCTCTGCACCAGGAATTGCTAAGCAGCTAGATGGTACTTCTAGAAATACTCCCTGAAAGCAACAAACCCCTTAAAGCTATTTCAGTTGCAATCCAGGACTATATTTAAATGACTTGCAATATCTGCAGATAAATCATGAGGAAATGGTAAAATTTCTACCTGGCTTATGCTTGATATTTGCCTTAGAGCCACACTTCGAGGACACTTTGGAAAGGTCAACTTTCTTGTTCTGGATCTGCACCTAAAAAGGCAAAAAGAAACAACTCAACACAAAGAAACATTTCCTGTGAATCTGGAGGCCAATGGGCCATCTCAAACATCAGGTCACACTTAATGAACCTGCACCCCTTTCCTACTGCATTATTTTCTCCTGTTGATTTCCCAGTCAAACGCTGTAGTCAGCCTTAGCATTATTTAAAGGCCTGCACCAGCCAGAAGTGGTTAATGTGAGCAGACAGAAATTGAGACCAGATAAAACTAACAGACGGACAGTAACCAGAAACAGGAGTCTTGAGCTCATGGCACATTCATGGAATACAAAACCACTTGGGAGAGGGACCAAAAAAACTCAGTCCCATTGCCATGTTCCCCAGACCGTTTCTGCCCAGTGCTGGCTCTGCCTCTGAAGACACGGGCCATTGCCTGGGCAGCTCCAGACAGTCACCAGGACAGACGTCATCTCACGGTTCTACACAGCCACCCTCTTGCTGTAGGGCCAGAGACATGCCACCAGCTCCAACTTTTTCTCTCTACCATCTTCAATGTGCAGACTGACCCACATGTAATTGTCAGGCCTCGTTTGCAGCCTCCTGACAGCAGTCTTTCCTCCCTGCTGAGAGCAGGACACCAAGAAGGATCATCGTGCCCAGATGGAACAAACTGCTCGAAGAAGCTATCCTTCTCAAAGACAAAACACTGGGAGCGGGGAAGCTATTTCCTTTCCAGTGTTATTTCCTTTAACCTCGTCCTACCAGTGACTTGATACTGGCATAGAAAGCCTTCAATGAAAGAAGTGTTCGGTGATGCAATCATGAAATCGTGAGATATTCATGACTCAGTAAATGAACTTCTTCCAAGTCAATGAGCCAAATATTCTAGCATGGTGTTTGTGGACATCAGTTTGAATTTGGGGAGAAGTGTCTTCTCTGGGGTAGAACAAAGGTGGAGTCAAAATGTCACAGGTTTTATGTCTTTTTGCTCAAAAAATATTTCATCTCTGACACCTGGACCAAGTTTATCGTACAGAGCCCCATTTCTGACATCTTTAAAATTCCTCCAGCAGCTCCAGGTGGATGAAAAATTCCTCTATTCCAGAATTAACTTCTTGTCTAACTACTTGGAGATCTTTCATTTCATACAAACATAGGATAATTTATACTGGAAGGAACTTCTGGTCATCTGGTCTAACCCCCTACTAAGTTGACATTCTAACTTTCCAAGGGGAAAAACCTGGGGTTTTTTGGTAGTAATGTTAACAGGATCACCTCTCCCAATCCTGTCAGCAACCACCAGCTGGCACCTACGTGCGCAAAAAGTTCTACTATAGATCATCTCACAGAGAAAATGAAAATCTTTCTTTTTTGAATGTGACAAGAATTCTTTCACTTACAAGCTACTTTAAAAGCTTAGAGAATTATCATGATAATTTGCAATCTAGCTTTCTCAGGAAGCATGAATCCTCCTAGTACTTGTGAAGAGAGATGAGTCACAGCTCTGACATCTTGTTTGCCCAGAATTAGAAGAACAGCACAGTTCAGCCTCCTGCTACACTGTTCCATGTTCACGTACACTGACTTAGTGACACCAGACACTCCGAAAAGATGAGATCATGGCTACTGAATTTGATTTTCTTGGGGGTTGCTAGTAAAGTTACTAGAGCTTTTATAATGAGGACTTGTTTGCTTGGAACTGGAATAAAACTAAGTTTATTTCACAGAATGCATTTTAAAATAATAATGTTTGTTATCAGCTAGGGTAGACATACCCAGTTATGACTCCTCATGATTTCACCTGGGATCCAAACAATTATACCTAAATGGAAGTGTATTTCTGGTAAGATTTCAACATTAGTTGCTTTGAGTTTGCAATGGGAGACACTTTTAAAGGCTTGGTCTTGCATTTACAGAGCCAAATACTCAGACTCTGGTGCCAGAAATACACTTTAGATCTGAAAGCTTGATACAGAAGCTCAGATGGGAAGTATGATCCTCATCTCTTTTTAGATTTTCTAACTCTGACCATTTCCCAAACCATCTAAACAGGTCAAGTCAAAGGGTAGAGGAACATACGTACATTCCAAATCACCTGTTAAATCTTCAACAACATGTACACTAACCGCACTTCGTAAAACCTACCTCTTTACTGTCGCTTTCTTTAAAAAGAGAGGGGGAAAATACTAAAGCACAACAAAAGCTTTTACCCAGGAAACCTAACTATGTTTGTGTCAAGATATTTCTGGCAAATATAACGTGAGCAGGAACAATATCTACTGCTTTTGAACACGTCTTCTTGGTTATCTTGGAGGGGAGAAGAAATTATCTCTGTGTATAGAAGGCAAAATGGGTACCCAAACAGAGTGTACCAGCTAGGAACCACTTCACTTAGGTAGGATGTCCATCACTCCTACCAGAGCAACCCTAAAGCTGAATCATAATTTGCTACTAACCACAGCTCTTGAACACAGGATTCCTAAAAGCTTTAACTGAAGCCACAAACTGGAACAACAGACTTTCCAGACATCCCCCTCAGCAGTGTGGTTCAGGAATTAAACATCAGGAAGTCTTCTATCAGAAGTGATCACCATAACTATTTGAACAAGAAAACATCTCTTGGAAGAGGACACTAATATTACAGTGCCCCAAAGGGAGTGAGCAGATATAAAAATGAATAAAAGGAAATGCTTTTATAGGAAGCCAGACTGGCCGCTGCGCCTCGTCTACTCACATTGGTACAGGCAGTGCTGGGTTTGGGGGCGTTGGATGGCTGGGAACAACTGCCTGAAGCTGGTTTGGGGGCATTTGGAACCTGGAAATAATAAGCACTTTATTCTCTATTCTCAAAGCAAAAAGCTTAAGTAGTTGAGGAAGGAGAAGTGCAGTGGTAAAAGGAGAGTGTGAAACAAGAGAAAAAGAAAGCAGGCACGCACTTGTCCCCTAGAGTTGGGAATGTCCCCAGGACAGGACAGTAAAGAGGAAAGGACAGGTTTGGCGATTCATTAGAAGAAAGAATAGTTCACTAATGTAGTTAATCAAGCAAGAAAAATATCCCCCACATTTAAAGCACATTTCATTTGGCTTGAAAAAAGGAAAAGTATGTGTGAGACTCATTGTCCACTAAAAGGCTGTAAAGGTAAGAGTGGCAAAATTAAAGTGGCTTGTAAAATACAGCTCCTTTGAGTGCATGAACAGTTAAGTTACAACAGCTGCTCTCCAACAGTATAGCCAAAGGGACTTCTGCCTCAGAACACTGATTATGTATAAACAGTCTGTTTCAAACTTGGGTGAAAAAAAAGATGAAATATGCAGTAGGAAGAGAAATACGCATAGCTAAAAAAAGTATTATGAGGGCACCTAATTGACATGATGGTCTCAACATCAGTTTTTCTTTCCATGGCACAGAGGATTCCCCTGCACGAGCATTTCTACGGGAAGCTACACACACACATGTACGCACTCCTATAAACATTGGGTAAGTCACGGAAATATCAAGTAAGAATGGCAAATCCCACTACTGGTGAGAATCCACAAACTGGAAGGCAAGGAGGGCAGCAGAGATGTGTGTCCAGCGACTCTCAGTGGGGAGTCAAGCTTAGTTAAGTGAACACTGCATGTGCGACTTCAACATCTGTCTCGTACCATCTTGGCAACCAACCTGCAGGGAACAAGTTTAAGAACGCAGATTTGGCTGCCTCTTGCAAAGATTTAAAGAAGAACTGGTCATGTAGAATAAAGGTTCAGCCAGCTAGTCAAATACACACCTATTTCCCAGGAAAAGAGGCCACAGCAGTTTGCACCATAGTCAGGCCTTTGTAGCATTTGCAAACCAGGCATCAGACAGAACACGCTGACTATACAGCAACAGTAAGTCTGGCCCCAGAAACCGAGTATTTGCACCTTGAACACTACACAAAGCAAGGATGCAGCGAGTTTCATTGATGCTGGCACTCAGGCACCGGGCACAGAGAAAGCGTCACAAGATGCCATAGCTGGACATCTCTCCTCAGGAACCCAGCATATTTAAACACCAATGGAAAAAACTTCCTTGGGCTTAAGTACTTCAGTGTCCTTTTGAAACCATCCAGTCTTTGTATTTCTGCAAACTACCCCTAGTACAAACAGTCTAGCATAGATTTGTTAAGATACTACAGATTTACCCACAAGGAAACAAGCCTGCCAAGCTATAGTCATGTTTTCAAAAGCTTTAGTATCTAGATAGTTAACTTGGGTTTTTTGCTAGATGCTTTCAGGATATAATACTCCAAAAACCAAGTACACAGACATTACAAGATTAGCCTTCTGTTTTAGTAAGCTCAACTCTGCTGCCAGAGATACCAGTAGCCTTTAAATTTAGAAATTAATCGCAGCTCAAAGATTAAGTCCCAGTCTTTTCCTCCTCCTTTTTCAAAGTCTCCCTTCTTGTGAAACAAGAAGTGAAGTTAATCTGACTCAGGCTTGGTCTATTAGCCAGTGAAGAGTAACAGGCACTTCTAGGCCACAATTCATTTCATCTAAAAAAATCAGACATCTAAAATAGGTCAGAGGACTGATGAGGTACCTCCATTGACTGCAGGGGGGATCCATGGTGAACTAACTCCTGGGGTCAACGATGTGCACATCCTACATTTGTTCATGAATACCACGTAAACCATGTCAGAAATAGGTCAGGTGTGTTTGTAGTACTATGAAACAAACCACACACATTCAACCTAGCATCTCACGGGGTGGGGGGGAATTCTCCAGCCTACATTATTTCCAGCCCTGAAACTCTGCCACACCTTTCTGCCTGAAACACAGCATTCGTAAGACTGACATATAAAAACATAGTACAAGAGGAGTTAGTAGAAAGACAGCTTGCCCAGAGCCCATACTTACATTCCCACCTCCAGGGACATGCTTAATATTGTCCTTGGAACCACACTTGGACTGAACATGGCTGTAGTTCGCTTTTTTGGAGACTATCTGGACCTGGAATGTTACAGAATGGAAAACAACACAAGGGAAGAGGACTGGTTAGAGTTGTCATACGGCAGGCTGGAGTGGATGCTCTAACACGGTGGATAAACAAGGAGTTGTGTTAAACTCAATCCAACTTTAGTATTAGGTGTGAAAGCAACTGAGGAGGAGAGTGAGAAAAAAAGTGAACGAAACAAGAGGCAGCACAGACAGTGTTAGTGCGAGAGCGTAAGCGCTACCGTGAAGACCACTTCTCCATGTACTCTACAGGCTAGCATCACCGGGCGGGCATAGTGCGAGAGCGTAAGCGCTACCGTGAAGACCACTTCTCCATGTACTCTACGGGCTAGGATCACCGGGCGGGCGCCTGGGTTCATCTATGGGGGGGTTGGTCTATGGGAGTTCATCTATGTCCCCCGTGAAGCTTCCCGGGAGCTTTCTGGTGAGAGCTGCCCCAGGGCAGGCAGAGCCAGCTCAGCTGCCTCCTTCCTCCACAGGTCAAAGCCACGGGGCCACCACTTCCAAGAACACTACGAACTGCTCGGTGCCTGCACTCTATTTCCATTTGCCGGGATTGGCTCCAGTCTTGGGTAACGTCTTTCAAAGCCTCTGGGCAGTAAAGCCCGGTCTGAGAAACAATTCTTCTGACAAAGGTTGTCAAACCTTCAGTTAAATTTTGTCATGAGAAACAATTCTTCTGACAAAGGTTGTCTGATAAAATTTAACTGAAGGTTTGACAAGTCTTACGTTCATTAAATTGTTTCTCCCTTAAACTAAAATTACTTGGACTTTTTCAAAATACAGAAGGAGCACGCTAAGCGAGCTTTTACTCACAAAGGTGGTAACTGAGTTAGAGCAACAGGCCCGTGTTTACAAAAGGTTAGTTATGACACGTGTTTAGTCTGGGAGTTATTTAACACAGCACAAAATGTGGCAGAAGCTGTATCTAGAGTACTTTCTAGAAAGACGTGGTAAATTCAAAGCACAAAAGGAATCACCAGAAGATTCTCACTTTAGCAGGTTTCCAAAAGCTCCTTAGCCAGTTCAGAAAGACTGGATTCAGTGCAACAGCAGCTCTGAAAATGCACTTATGCCACGGGAGATTATAATGGTTTACTGACTTCTCTAGAGGTACAAATCCCATCCATTCATTAACAGGCTCTGCCTGATAATACCTGAATTAAACCAGCACTGCAGGCACTCCGGCGTCACTCCCCATCCACTTATGCCGAAATACCATGTCACTACGGCTTCGGAGTAACCCGTCACATGGTGACTGCCTAATGCACGGAGTTGGAGAGTTTTGGTACAAGTGGGTGGGGAATATTGCAGGAAGGATATTAAGTCCTTAATATTCTGCAATCTTAATGAAAGCATGCAACACTGAACTAAAGCGCTCTCTCTCTTCCTAGTTACAAACGAGTGCTGAGTATGAAGAACTGGTCTTAAGGGAAACCTCCGACTCAAAGTAGGCCTACCTACCTAAAAGCGAAAACGGAGGACTCTGCTCTGAAAACATTTACATTTACAGCAGGCATGGAAAAGATACCTACAATAGTGATCTCTGAAAGTGTTTAACTGAGAACATCTCAGGGTTTACAAGAAAGAATTGTGTCTGTGCAAGGAACAGTGACACTGACAGGAGAAAGCAGAAGAGTTGAAGAGAAGGGAAAGTGACTCAAAATGGAAATGTTTTCCTTCATCTCCCACAGAGAAAAGTCTGAAATAAACTCACTTTCCCATTGGGCTGTTTTGGGGCACCCTCTTTTGATACGGTTGTTTTAGTAGTAGCCATTTTAGAGACTGCATTGGGTTCAGACTTTCGTGCAGCAGCGGCTGATTCTGGCTTTTTCTCTATTTTCCCCTAGATGGAGACAAATGGACGATTTCAACCAGCAAAAGGAAAAGTGTGGGCAGAAGAGTACAGGAACACAAACTACCCAGATAAACTTAGTGGCACAGATGACCCAGGAGAACTTCTTACGTGCTGTAATTCTCAGGCAAAGTATAATCCCATGCCCAGGAACAATAAAACTAAGGGGGTGGAGGGGAAACAACATCACTCAGACATGGGATGAAACAGGCACCCTGGGGTCATAAAGCAGTAACTTCTCCATTTCTCAAAAAGCTCGTAGGTGCCCTTCTTCAGTATCTCATCATTTCCCCAAAGGTCACGATGGCAGGTCTCCAGGTGACCCCAGTACATTATGTTCTGCCAAAAAATTAAACCCAATCTTTTAGTAACCCAACAGCAGCGCAGGACCATCTCCTTCACATGGAGGACACTATGCAGATCTTAGAAGCAAACACATCCACTGACTGATTTTCTTTGCCTTCGAGCTCTGAGAGCTCTGCTGGATACAGACACACTGTGCTTCCATTTCTGATTTCACACCCACACACTGATTTGACTCAGGCTTTGAGATCAACAGCTCATTTAGTTTTTAACTAATCAAATGCAGGTGGACCTAGCTAATCCAACTAAGCAGAAAACTGAATGAAAATTTACAGGTTTTTAGAAAAAAATCAGCAACTACCTGAGAATATCCATTCTTCTGCTAATCTAGATCCAGATAAGTACAGCAGAACTTGCATTTTTGGGGGGTCAGCATAAATCCTATATTTAATGAACCTACCAGCAACAGAACGGTAAACAAAAAAAACCTAGCACTCCTAAGGCATTCTCATCCTCTATAAACATCCCAGCGTAAATGAGACTATGAAAAGGACAACTTTCTTCAAAAGTACAACTGTTAGGATTTAATAAATCTTCTATGAAAATATTTAGAAAATAAAGGACAGTACAATTAAATGTAAAAATGAATTCCCTTAAACCAACACAATAACCCGGTAAGCTAAAAAGCTCTCCAATCCTCAGAACCCTAGCACAGTGTAAAATAACAGAACAATCTTACGTGTTCTTTTTGACCAGATGGCAGTAGGCTTTCTGAACTTCTATTTGGTTTCAAGCTACAATATACAGTATATGAAAGGGCCACCCTCCTGCTTGCTTCAAAGTTTTTCAGCAGAAGTGGTTTGTCATTTCCAGAAACTCTGTTTTGGGGAGTGGAAGTTTGTCCTCTAGACCTCTAAGCTCTGAGGACTATACTATGATATTGTACAACTGAGATACTCTTAACTCTGAAGAATAAATCCATGCTGTATCGATGCTGTCTGTGACATACAACACCACAGCCCAAGAATGCCCTTGACTTTAATGTGCCTGAAAGGAGATTAAGGCTCCCAGCATGAAACATGCTCTCTTGGCATCAGACTAAAGTTATATGCTGAGTTATTCATTACTGCAGACCTGCAGCAAAGATAAGTGGGAAAAATTTGTTCCACTTTGTGGAAATTAAAGCCCTCCGACCACAGGCAAGCTGCTAACACATTTGATCAGGCGAAGATAGATGTATCTGTTATACAATATCCAATAAAGGTTTTATGATTATGTATCTCCGCAAAATTATTTAAACCCTCAAAAGAGGGCAATAGGTATTTCCCTAAACCTTTATCATTTATATGGTAGATATTCACAGTGAAAGTGTAATTTAAGACCATTACTGATTGAGAGCCTCAAGTTATATCTATGTATACCTTTTCCCTACAGGTCATTCAACACTACCCTCTTCTTTTCTTGTGGCCACCGTAGGTTATCCAAAGACCGGCGTATGTAGACCCATTTCATTTCAGCTTTAGGCCTGACAAGTTGAACAGAGTCCCCGTTCCTAGACCTAGGAAAGGTGCTGCGGAACTTGCTCCTGAATCCAGATTTCCTGCATCGTAATGCATTATTCTACCTTCTGTATCATTCAGCAGACAATTCCTCTATTCAAAGGCAAAGTTTTGGAACATAGACAAGATTTTGAGCTTTCAATACCAACTAGTTTCTAGATCAGGACGTACGACAGAAAAACAGAACCACAGAGTTCTGAATTCCTGTACGTATGCCAGTAAACACCATGAAGGCTCTTAAGGCGGATTCCTTCTGTACACTACCATCACTGCCTTGTTAATGCATTGTGCATACACCAAGAACCCAAAGAGGAGCTCTGCAGAGCATAAATGAGAAGAGCAGTGAGGATACAGCCACCACAATTAGCAAAGAGCACCCATAATGCTTAAGAGCTACTGTTCCAAAGCGCATATTGCTATCAAGTTTGAAGAAACTTACCTTTCCTCCACCTGGCTGATGTTTAATGTTATCTGTTGATCCAATTTTGGAACGTACATTTTTCAGATCTGGAGCAGAAACGCTGCTGGTGGGGCGAGGTGGCTTGGAAACAGTGCTGGGTTTAGTCGGAGCCTTAGCAGTTGTTTTTTTAGCATCTGCTGTTGCAGTTGAGGTTGTGGCGGGTTTGGTTGCAGCAGGCTTGGTTTTGGGACGACTGGTAGTTACTCCAGGTAAGGTAGGTGCGCTGGAGGCGGTGGTAGAAGGAGTGGTGGCACTACTTTTTACTGCATTTCCAGTAGCACTCTTAGGGCGGCTCAAGTCTGCTACAATTATCATAGCGATAGTTGGAGGGAAGGGGAAAAAGATGGGTCAGAGGCCATTTTACACAAACTTCCTCAGAGTCCTAAAGATGTCCAGTGGCCTGCTTAATAAACACAGCCCCAAACAAGGTGGATTTGATTTAGATGGAAACTGAACAAAGTTACCTGATGGAGACTTTGCAGAGGTCTTCTTGGCATCTGCAGGCTTTGCATCAGTCTTGATAGCTGCCCAACACAAAACACACTGGTAAGCATTTCAGAGTGGGAGCCAGTTTGCACAGATGAGAAGCCTGGGATCCCGGCATAGCTTCCCCTGGAGGTCAGGGGCTCTCCGCTGCTCCTCACATACCGATGGTCCTCTTTACCCACAGTCCCCATTTCTAACATGCTGCTTCAGATAAAGCATCTCAAGAATTAACCGCTCCATTTGAACACCCAGCTGAGGTGGTCCTCATCATAACAGCAGAACTCATTCACGTTTTCCAGCAAAAGGATCAATTCACCATTCAATGATGCAACACACCCGGGGTATGGTTTGCATTTTGTTTTTTCTTAAAATAACTTTCTGAATCTGACAGCACTCACTAACATTATTTTAATCCCGTCCCAATTTCATTTCTTAAAAACAAAACAAACAAAAAAAACCTCAACCAAAGCTCCTTTCTTTACTAAATAGCAAAAGCAAACCCACATTTGTCTATATAACCTTCATATTATTGCTAGATCAGTTCTAACCAATGCCAGTTTTCTTGCACAGAAGTTATTGCACATATTTTGGTCTCTAATATAATTGTATAAAATCAAAAATCAATCACTAAACTGAACCACGCCTTCGGGCAAACACCAATGATCATGACCTGATTATATTCCACATAGACAGAGGACAGTCTAAACCAGGAACGCATCTGTATTTCTCAAAGCAGAATAAAAGCATACACAAAGTTGATCAAGGAAAAAAAAAATTACAGACTGAAAAATATAAACTGAACCTTATTTTAAAGAGCTCTTTGATAATGAAATTCTAGCTTTTTTACTATCAATGATGGACAACTTTGGCTAAAATCTGCTTCATTTCAATAGCCAAAGGAAAGCAACATTAAAACCAAACACCAAATGGAAAAAATCTATGTTAGAAATTATGAAAACCCCCATCTTCTAATATTTAATTTCCATTAACAGTCTTAGATATTTAGATAATCGCAAGTAGCTGGCAGGGTATTTTATGGAATGCAAATATAGAAAAGAGCAAGCAAAAGAGGCAGATAACTATAGGCCAAGTTAGTCTGGATCATTCCATCCAGATTTTGCTAAAAGCATTCAATTAAAGACTAAGATACTAGCTAGTGAGATGAAATACATTTGGATAATTTAATAAGGCCTAAAGGACAGATATATAATTAATACCAAACACTTCAAAAAAGGTCCTGTCAAACCAACCTAATCCCATTCCTTGAGACCACAACTTTAACTGGGAAAACTGCATGGACAGAACAGACTTAGCGTGGTATAAAAGCAAGAGGACCAATATGTTACTTTAATATATAAAGAGATGTTATTTCTACTCGTGTGAGTGGGGAGCCAAATGCTGGAACACTTTTGTCTATGTTATTAGCATGCGATGTTGAAAACCCGGAGAATGATAAAGCTACTGGGAAAATGGTCTATAATGACAGTCCAAGACTTCGATCTTTTTCTGATCTGAAAGTCAGAGAGGTGGTCTTGTACGAACATAAAAGTCATTTTTACAGGGAGGGGGAAAAACTGGGCGAGGCGGGTGGAAATCAAGCACCACATAGCCCGTGGCTCTCATTTAGTTGAGAAAGTGACTGACATTTCATACCTGAAAAAGGGAAACCATATAATTTCAAAACAAGCTACTATGCACACATTTTTAAACTGAGAATGCCTAACATTTGGGCAAATCACAAGGAAGTGAGTCTCTATCTTTTGAACCTGAAAAGCAAGAGCAGATGTCCTTCTGAAATATCATCTTTAGCCATTATCTGTCTCAATGTTATGTAATGAGAAACTAAATTGCGATCAGAAGAGATCCAGGTCTCCAACACCTACATCTATGGATCTAGCTGAAGTTGCATGTGCTCTACCTAAACCGAATTGTTAGTGTTTGGCTCACTGCGATTCCCCTTCAGGCCTCACAACACTGTCCATTTCTCTATCACACCCTTGCTTTCTCCTCTTCCAAAATAGGACTCCCTTCTTTTACCATTCATGACTCCTCTCTGCATTTCCAGATTCAGCCAAAACAGCTTTCCCTCCTGATGGAGTTTCTCCAGCTGACCTCACCTCTCCCTCGCCCACCCAGTTCTCACTGTACTTTGGCAATGTCCCACCACCCTCGCTGGTGCAGAAGCCTCTTCCTCTGTACATCTTGCCACTTGGAACAACCTTCCTGCATCTCTGCATCATTGACTCCATCTCTTTTCAAATGTCATCAGAAAACACTCCTTTCTTTGTGTCTCAATTTTGGAAGGAAAAATTAACTGAACTCATTAAAACGTATTAAGCATTCTGGGCTACAGTTTGCATAAAAGACCACACAAAATGAATTTTACAAGGATGTCCACAGGATCAGTTAAGATACGTGGCTCTTGGAAAGTGCGACACTTCCTCTACACAGGATTAATTATATTTTCCCCTAGAGCATAAAGTATGGAATGTACATCTAGCCTAAGATATTTCGACATACTTAACACACTAATATTCTTTTGGGAAAGATGGGTTATGAATTCATGCTTTGGGACTCATAGAACAATGCAACCAATACGTATTATTAGTTTTACATGTTTACTGGCTTATTTTGCCAATGAGGTCTAGTCATTTGAAAAGACTTGAGAACATTTAACTATATTTTTATCTGTCATTAAATCTCTCAAGCTCCATTAAAATGAGTGAAAACACTGTTTTCAGGATGCTAGTATGCTGCTCATGTTTCATGCTGACTGTGTTAAACTCATGGGAAGTTCCCTCTTCGGCAGCTGTAGGAGTGGGATACAGTTTTCTGATGAAGCTGATGTGCAGGAAGAATTTGGAGCTGAAATCACTAGTAAAAAACCTCCACTTCTGTTCAACCTTTTTTGTTCCTCAGATGCACTAGTTTGAGTGCTTCAAGTCCTCTTCTGGAGATTTGCTTTTCCCCAGTTTTAAATTGGTTTTAGTGTTTATCTAGCTGTTACTATGCCAAAATACAGAGGTAATAGCATCCTTTTTCTTAAATCAAGCATGTTCAGTAATTAAATAACCCTGAATCACACAGAGCTGATGCAAGTTGGCCTTGAAGGTCATTCAGATTTGGTTTTGGAAGAGGAAACCCTGCAGAGAAAAAAAAGTCTGACCTATGATCTTCTCTGTGCCTTGGCACAGGGTCTTGTCTTGTGGTGTATTAAAAGGGTTGAGATTTCAGCTATCACTAAGCTTCAAGTCAACTCCTGACTGACAGGTAGGCCAGTTTACACCTCTCAGAAGTACTGGTTAACAGCAGCTACGGCTTCTCCCAAGTGATGACATTTCAAGGGTTGGGTTTTTTTTTTTTCTTTTTTTCTTTTGAACCTGAAGATCACAAGCTTGTTTATTAGGAGACTAAAATGATGGGGCCACGGGATAACCTAAACACAGGAAAAAGCAGTCAGTGTACTGGAAAACGTGAGAAAGACATCATAGCGTGAACCAACAGTGCTACTCAGAAATTGGCAGCTGGTTAGAAAGAGAGATCTGAAGAAAAACAAGAGAATACTTACATGTTGGCCTCTTCGGTGGAGAAGTAGCAGTATTTTTCGCACCAGCAGCTGCAGTGACTGGCGATGCCGCCGTTGTCCTAGGAGTAGCAGGGCTGCTCCTGGCAGTAGTTCTAGGAGTGGCAGATGATGGAGGCTTTGAAAGTGAGGTCCGCTTATCTGTGGTCTTCGTATCTGCAACCTGAAAATGAACAGCTACATTAAAGCCAGTCTTTGTCTGACAATCTCTTCAAAGTGTTTGCCAACAAAAAGCCTGAAATGAACTGAAATTGTTTAAATTCTTAAACACAGAAGCTAGGCACCACTGAAACATTATAATGCGGAAGATTAAAAATATAATTAAGGCATGCAGAAGCAGCTGACTATATTCAGTGCAGGACACAGAGCACAGACCCTGCTGAATATTAGAATTCATCCAAATCTGTTTCAGCATTAATGCGTGGAGGCCATTTACAGATGTGAATGAGGTTTTGATTTCTGAACAAAATGGAAAACGTCAGTCCACTAGCAATACCTTTGGGAGAGATTTCTTTCCTGCATGAGCAGAAATGCTTCCTAAGCTAAGGCAGCATTCATTAAAACACTGTGGACATAAGAATTAAGTGTCCGCGGTTCATTCCCCACTTGGAAAACTATTTCATGTCTGTCCCTGATAAGTCACTTGTTTGTAAACTGACTGATCTCTTAAGTATTAAAATACTGAGTTAATGCATGGAAACAAGTGAGATGAGATTTTGATTTCATCAAAAAGGGATTCAGAATCATGCAAAAACTTAAAACTGAAGACACTGGTTCACAGAAAAAGCACGGATTTACACCGTGCTTTCATACTCTTCTTGTTATTTTTATTTAGTTAGTTCTAAAAGACTCAAATGCAGTTATTTAAGCTTAAGTGTATAGTAGAAATGCTAGCATTTAGACATCAACTAAAAGCTTCTGAAATAGACTTTAACATTCCCTTTCAAATTTGAATTCTTCTACTATATAATATAACAAGTTAACGTAGGGAAGATTCAAGGCACATTTCCGGTTCTTAACATTATGTGTGGATATCCTACTTCAGCTTTAAGATGCAATGCTAAGAACTGTCTATAAATCACAAATCTCCAATATTTCCTAAGTACATAAGCGTATTATCAATTATCTTTGTACAGGTTTTATAATGACCAGACATCATAAAGAGACAATCAGTAGGACATACTGAAGTGTTCAAACTGATTTTTTTCCCCTCAATATTAATATCAAAGCTCTCCATTCAGTTTTCCCATGCTCTTGTCTGGATTTAAGAGTTATCCTATGTTTGTATCTATATTTAAAAAACCCTCCTCCTTTAGTAACGGAAAGAAATAAAGAATTATCTTGTGTCCTTCATAACAGTTCCCAAGGAAAATCGTGGTAATACAGTCAAGTTTAATTTTCTCCTCTGCGATGACACAATTGAATGCTTGGGACTTGATGCCGTAGGTGGGTTAATGGAAGCTGATACTAATAACTGTGCAGCTCTCATAACACAGTGAATCACATTCCTGATCTTACCCTCCCATGATTAGCACTAGAATTATGTTTTGACTCTTGGGTAAGATAGCTAGTAAGGTAACATGTAAATAAGTTCTCAGAGCTCCCACACAACAGCAAATTGTTTCTTACCTTTGGTTTGGTCTCTTTTGGAGTTAAGGTGGAGGGACGTGTAGTACTGGTGGCTGGGCGTTTAGTAGTAGTGGCTGAAGTAGGACCTGCAGTAGGGCTCGTGGGTTTTTTGTTTGGGCCAGGCGTGGCAGAGGCTGGCCGCTTGGGGCTGGTAGCGGACAGGGGCCTGGCTTTCGTTGCTGCAGGCTTTGTAGATGATGTGGATGCGGCAGGCTTTATGTTTTTTCAAAAAGCAAAATCCAGTATAAAACCAAAAAAATACAACAAAAAAATAGCGCATTGTAAACCAAAACATTGAGCTGCAAGAACATAAAAATGATACTTTAAATGAAACAACAAAAAAAATTAACTTTCTGTTTTCTGAGTGTAACAAAGACCAAAATGAAGCAGCAGAAGAGGGCTGCCTTCAGAGCCCGGTGGAGTTTTGCCATTCAATTCAAAGCGAACAGGATTTATTCCAGTGACATCTAGAGCAACAGAAGGAATCGCTGGTAAAGCTGGGATTAGTAATTGGGTGTTCCTGGCATTTAGTCCTGCGTGCAATACACAGGACATTGCTTTCCAATTACACGCACACAGCGGATTGCAAGCTCTAAATCCTCATCTCATCGACTCTAGTGGTCATACGCCCGCTGCCTTCGAGGGGTCTAAGGACCTCCTGCCCTTACCACTGCTCTAAGAATTTGGGTTTGGATTTTGCTGAATGCTGCAAGCTTCTGAACGCAGGTATCTCTCATGTTTCATAAACAGCCCCAAAATAAGAGAATATCAGATCCTGAGCAAGATCTCTGAATGCTAATTGTAATGCAAATAAACATCATGTAAACAACTAGAAGAGTATCAGTGTAGCAGAAGTGTTATCAGACATGTTTACTACTTCTACACCACCGATACCAACCAGAGAATTAACTTAAATAAAGCTTGCCACAAATTTATTAAATCCACTTTCAGTCACACTGCTACGGGCCAAGTTGTTTGCAACTTCGTAACTGGATGTCTTTTTTTCAGTAAGATGGTTCACAAATGGCAGCTCAGAAAACAGAACTTGTGTTGCCACAGCTTAAGAAGCAGAAAAGCCAGCAAATAAAAACCACAGAAGCGAAGACGCTGAACGTGCAACGACACCTACCTTTGTCTTCTTCTCAGGACTGGGAGGAAGCTCTTTGTTGGGAGGTGCTGTGATATCGTTCCCTGTCACAGCTTCAGCTGGTTTGGTCTCTTCTGGTTTTGCTGGGGAAAAAAAAAAGGAAGGGAGACTTCTTAAGTTGGAGGGTTTTTTTTTAATATATAATTTTTTTTAGTTTACTATTATTCAACTCAGTAGCAGGAGGAGACAAAACTGGGACAGTTACAGGTTGGCTATTTCTGGAAACTTTCCCCAAAACCAGAATACCTATAGGAAGAAAGATTTTCCCTGTGAGCAGTGCAGGTTCACCCAGACGCCACTGGCATCCAATTTCTCATATTATTCCAGCGGGAAAAGAAAGACAGCTGATGAAGGAAACCCCTGGTTTAATTAAAATAGCAAACCTTCCCATCTTTCAAGCTATTAAAATAAATTGTTGGAATGTTAATGGCGAAGTTCTGACCTCTTCCAGGTTTTACACTATGACTTACCCTGAAGTAGGGCACTGTTTTCAAGCTATCCCTACTGTTAGGGCTGTTTCTTCTTGACCCTTCTCCTGCCCACATCCATGCGCTGCAGCCCTCCGCGAGCAGGGCAGATTCCCAGCAGTCGAAGGGAGCTGGGCTGCTAACGGGAAAGGTCGCACACGGAAGCGGGAACACGGAAATCTTGTTCTAACATGCGTGGATCATACCGACCCTTGTTAGTGCGGAAACCATCGTGTCATGCTGCTGTACCCGGTGTTTCACAGCACAAAGCTTAGGTTCGGTTACAAGGGTTGCCGGTGTTTCGCTGTGATTGTTCATGTTTGTCATTGCCACCAAAGGTTGTTACGCTGAGTGGGGAGCAGTGAATACACACGCTCTTCTCGTAGCGGCAGCGGAGCAGCCACAACCACTTCCTCGTCTCCTTTTAAAAACCAGTCTCTAAAGCTTTGTCCAGCCACCAGCAGAAGGATAACTACTGCCCTCCAAAGCAAACAATATAACAAAACATTAATTTAGGAGCAGCTTCACCAAGGTTTCTCCCTAAATCTTACAAATCCTACAGCAGAACTGCCATGCTGCTTTGCACCATGAGACGTGCAAAAGGCAATTTCCCTATAAACAGCTTTTAAAACACTAATTCTCAGCGGTGTTGCTGTACAATTGCACTGTTATGAGCTGTCTTCCGCTGCAATTCCTGTGGCATTTGAATTTGATGAAGGACATGGTGCAAACAACTCATCACAAATTTATGCATTTTCCCTTGTCATCTGGGGATTAAAATAAAGTGCATCTGTGTTGGGTGTTTCTTTTTATAACAACACAACAGATTGTAATGCTGCGGCGCATGCTAAGGGCCCACCAGACAATAGTGTAACAATTCCAACAGTAAAAAGGTTGTTTCCCACGTCTTTTGAAAATTACTATTTATATTTCACAAATTCCAACAGTAAAAAGGTTGTTTCCCACATCTTTTGAAAGTTACTATTTATATTTCACCTTTTCTTGCTTGTCAGTCTTGAAGGGAATGTCTCAGAGGACGGTTCAATTCTGGTACAAACACCACTGTTGAAACAAGCAAAATAAAATTGTGCCTTCTGCCTGCCCCGGTGATGCTCAACAGCAGGATGGTTTTGTTGTTACTTATTTTTCTGACTCCAGGACAAGTTTAGCAGCTTTTTTTTCCTTGCATTGCATTAGATTTTCCTAGCTATTTAGCTTCCAAGTCATATTAAATGTTTTGCAGCACTGGGTTTAACATACTAGGCATACAAAAAAGACTTGTGAAGAAAAATAAGCACCAAAATGTACAGGCTGGACACTATTTTTAATGCAAAATTCTTAAGAATCATTCACGTTCACCTAGAAAGCCCATTTTTTTTGTAGCTAATCTATATTGGCCCCTCTATACTAGTTTTCTCCACTGCATTTCAATTAACCTTTCTATTCCCTCTCATTTAACTTGTCAGTTTTATCCACAGCAATACCAGAAAGAGCAATTGTTGTCGATGGTTCCTGTTTCTGAATACCATCCTTCTGTCCATTCACTGCTCTCTGCTCCCAGGACCTCATGCCTGGGGATGGCTTTATTTTGAATCCTACCAGTCTCAAATATCCCAGACATCAACGTGACTCTCCATCCGTTGGAAGTTACCTTTCATGCACTGCCTGTCGTTATTATTTCAGCTAATTCAGCGGCAGCATTAAACCTCTCACTTGATGACAGTACCGCAGCATCCATGCAGCAACATGAATCCGTCTGCTCAGGGAGCCTAATGCGGCTCCTCAAAAAACCTCAACTTCTAAAGTTTCAGGATTTAAACTCCAGCAGCTTCCATGCTTCTGAACTAACAAAAACATGAATTTCATGTTATTTCATGTTACTTAATCAAATACGGGCTACTATACAAGAAATTTGGAGTGAATAACTTCAACACACAGAATTATCAGAGAGTACATTAAGGTTCTACAAAACAAATAGGATTTTTTTTTTTTTTTTTTTTTTCAAATGTAACCAGAAATGTAGCATCAACAAGCTGATGGAACTACACTGCAGGACAGCACACATACAGGTTAAGCAACTTGCATCTATAAATAATAACAATAATGATAAACCCAGGAGAGCTGGGTAGGGAACTTTCCTATTTCAGGGGCCACAGGACCATTACGCAGGTTCCATCTCTCATAGCCTCTGATGTAGCGGGGCACGCAACCCCGAACACAACCCCAAGGGATTACAGAAGGATAGTTTTGTTTTGTGCTGCCTCAATTTGAGCAACAACCCAATGTGCTCATCAGTACATTTGCTTTCATTCACTGCTTAATTATGAGGGCGCTCTCTCCTATAGAGAGCAGAGAGCTGCCTGGGAAGATTTCCTAGTTACGGGGAGTATTAGGAAAGGCTGCCAAATCTTCATCAAACTTGTTCATTAGTCTGCAAGAATTATTTAAGAGACTTTTCAGTTTGCTTGTGGCAACAAACCTCTGAAAGATATTTCAAAGGCATTTTGTTGGGAGCTCTAGCTGCTCTGCCCTGAGCAGGGCTCCTCCTTCAGCCGCCGCAGCTCCTGCTCCTCACAGCATTTGCTGATGGAGAAAATTCAGCTCAGCTGAGTCAGCACCCAGAACTGAATTACTCCTGGGGGAAAGGGGGACAGGGGCTTGAAGGAGAGAGGAAAGGACATTCCAATCTGGCATCTTCCACCGATAAACTCAAAGGCATAATCCTGTGATCAGGGTTACTTTCTCCCTGCTGCTACTTACTGCAACGGCAAGCTGCACTGTGCTGGCTTTTTATGTCCATCCTCACCCCCAGCTTACCATTCGTTACTCACTAAGTATGTTTTTAATGGTGGAAATCAAACTTTTTTGTACGTGTCAGTTCACAATACTGTGAAGCACCACTGCTTCACAATTTCTAAGAGCGACGCTGGCAAGTTACTCACGCCTAAGTGGACCAGAGAAAACAAATGACTCCACAATAATGACTAAACCCACAAACCGCAAACTCCAGAATTTTGTCTGAGGTTTTACAGACATCAGTTATGAAAGAGCAAACTTGATAAGTGGTGCTTATGTCTCCCTTAACAGCGATAGCAAGCGTCCTTCAGACACGCTCCAGCCGGCAGGAGGAGGGATGGTCGGGATTCCTGACGCGCTGCGTGGAGGAGGGACTCCCCAGGGTGGCCCGGCACTTCTCACACGGACACCGTGCTTCAGTTACTTCGTATTTATAGTACCTATCTGCCTCTAGATGATTTTAGACAAAACAGACCAGTTCTGAGAAAAACACTAAAGACAACTATCCTGCATATCAAAGATAATTGCAATGTTTTCCTTGACAAGGTTTCGCTCTCATCTGCTGCAAGAGGAGTTTGACGCTGGCAGACGCAGCCTTGCTGTCAGACAAGCGCCTTCTAATATAAAAATCTGCTCCAATTCAGCAACGTTACAATTCACTGAAAATAACCCACCCCGTAGTTTGAACCCTCTTGCTGGTTGAAGCCTCAGGTGACCCCCCGCGTTGGCCATGCTCTGTGGCCTATCTCCTAGTGCTTCCCAGGCTGCATCCACACCATCCCCAGCGTCAGCTGCGTACAAGCCACCTCTTCCAGGTTCCTGTGCGGATGGAGCTGGGCAAAACCAAGACCTACACAACTCGTAGGCGGCAGAAACCAGACTTCTCCCCTGCTGACCCTGCACCAGCCTTGCCAGAGCGCTCACCGCCGTGGTGCTAAGGTCGGTCAACCAAACCCTGCTCAAAGGCAGTCCCCAAGCTGTAGTAACACACGGCCAAGACCACGCATGGAAGCCGCAGCACTGAAACTACATTTGGCTAAGGCCAACAAGTTAAAAAGCATGTTTTTAAAATAAATTTGTCACCAGAAACCAGATATTTGCCATTGCTGGATGAAGGACCTAGCAAACAAGAGCACGTGGTGTTCAGATAAAACTGAAGTCAGAGGGAACAAGACTCCTAACAAATAAGCAGTGGTGATTTTTCAGAATAAATAGTAAAAATATGATGATCTGTGCCAAAACTGACACTCAAAAAAAAAAAAAAGAAGCTTCAGCTCCTTGTTATAAAAGGGGATAATAGATCTTATAGATTCTATAGATCTTAAAAATTATGGAAAATAGAACTCATTATGTTTGTCTCGTACAAGCAGAGTAAGCCATAAAAAAAACCACTAATGAGGAAATTCATAACACTGCCTCCAACAGCCAAGTTCAAATACTGTGATGCCAATAAAGCATGTGGGGCCATCCACGCAGCCGCGGAGTAGGCACAGTCTCCTGAAAGGCAACTCAACCTGATTTTTAGGTATCAGCAGCCACTCATAACAAGTTATTTACACAAGAACCCTGGTGTCTGAGGAGACTCTTAACATATTTTATCCTTAACTTCTTACTTCTATACATGCTGCCACTCTCTCGGTGGTTACTAGCAGCAGGTGAGTTATCAGAAGAAATGTAATGTGTTATAATGCAATCGAATTAGATGGTGCAATGGTTTTAAGAATGATCTCTTTTTTCCCCCAAAAAAGAACAGACTGTAGAACAGCTACCTTATCAACCATATAAAAAACCAAAGCTGTCTTCTAAGGCTCAACATTAATGTTTAAATAAATTGTCTATTATTTCTTTTAAAAAACTTCCCTCTTAGAACAGCGAGTCTCTCTCCAAAGTTTCCTGTATAGCACTAACACAGCTCAAGAGAATAGCTTTCCAAGGAGCCCTCAGGCACATCTTACAACTAGTCATTCAGACCCAGCCCATTCCACCGCATCCACAGAAAACTGTCATCCACTAAACCACAAGATTTTGATGTCAAAGCTTTTCCTCTTGGGAGACTTTCTCTCATTAGAAGGAGGTTAAGGAATGGAGCATTTCCCCTCCATATCACAAGGATGTACAGAATCTCCCTCCAAATGCATAAAAAAAAGTATGATGATGAAGAGTTTGGTTGACTTTAAGCTCTGCTGTCTGAAAACCACAGGCATCTCTTGAAAAAAACCAAGGAACAAGACAAACCAAACCCAGTGTTTTGATGGAGTTTTGCAGATGCTAAGCAGGGCTCTTCCTCAAAAGCAGCAATGAAGTGGGGGCAAAAGCTGCTGAAGTCTGTTTGAAAACAGGCCAGCTGGGCAGGAGGCAACGACAGCGGAGGTAACGTTCACCTTCGCACTTCTGAATGACGCCGCAGAGTAAGGGCAGGGTGACATGAACTGCCACGCCGCTCCTTCGAGCTGTACTAGCCTAACATAAAAACATATTGAAAACTAAGACAATGCTTCATGCTTTGAACCTTGAACTCATTACTCAGAATGCATTACGCCTATTGCACAGGGCTATTGTGAGAATTCAGCAATCTGCCTGCATAGATCTACCAAGTGGTCAAGCGACATAGGATCACAGAGCAATGAAGGGTTGGAAGGGACCTCAGAGGTCACCAGCCTAACCCATCACTCAAAGCAGGTCCCAGCAGATCAGGTTGCTTACAGTCATGGCCAGCATAATTTCCAAATATAAGGAAAAACTCCTTCAATGTGAGGGAGGTCAAACACTGGAAGAGGCCCAAAGAGACTGCGAGAGCTCCATCCTTGGAGACATTCAGACCTGGAAGGCATACACGTGGCCCTGGAGCAACCTGATCTACTTACAAGTGGTCTTGAGTTGGAGACCTCCAGAGCTCTGTTCCAGTCTAAGAGACTCTGTATTACAGCTACGTAGTGGAGGATGCCCACATTGTACGCAATTAATCATATGTCTTCTTGAAGCCAAGTCCTGATTATGAATAACTATATATAGTTTTCC